AGGATATGGTTAATACTATTATAAAATAAACTGAAAGTGTAGCAATGATTAGGAATTAAAAGGGCATAAGCTTTTCCTTGGCAAGACATTTATAAGACATTTCTGCTTAAATACAAACTATAGTAACAAAATACAAAATATAGTTTGCCACAGTGCAATATTTCTTTCTCATGAATTTTCTCTTGAACAATTCAGAGCGTGCTTTGTGAAGAGGAAATATTTGGCTTGTAGGGAGAAATGGAAATCTGAGTTTAAATATATAAGGAAGGAAAGTACCATATTAGGGAACATGGATGTGGTTAAATGCGTGTGGGAATAAGACTTGAATCATCTGAAACATGACTATTTGATAATGCTGTGATATATTTATACTCTAAATTTCATAATTGATTAGATTGAATTCTTATTTGTATTGTGTGATTGCTTCATAGATCTCTCAGTGAGGAAACATTTGAAATATTTGTCTATCTTAATATCCCACTGAATGTTCAAAGTCAGATCCTTACATTTTTGGAAGGTGGTGCATATCCCACTGATGAGTAGGATGTTAAGAAATGTCTGTTACAATGTAGCAGATGCTTCCCAAGTAACAGAACCAGCTGGTGACTTATTTACAGATATTACATTTTGTTTCTGTGAACTGTCCTGTATTACAGTGATGTAATAGTTAAAGTGTCCTATGAATCTGATTATTCATGCAATTTATATAAAAATTTACAGTTCTTGAGTACAGTTACTTTCAAACCTAGTTTTATGGTCATCATAGCAGTTCTGTTAGATACACATTAATGCTCCCCGTTTAAAGATGAGAATACACTCAGTTAACCCCTGGTGTGCACTTTGACTGTAAGCTTTCCATAATGGTTTGACGGTATGTAAACTCAGTATAGAGTTCATCATCTCTGTCCTTGACTGTTAGTGATTGATTCCAGGTATTACCTAGGTACTGCACATGTTATTTTAATCCTCAGAAGAATTTGTCTCAAGAGGTAGCATTGTCCTTTTTTAAAGATGAGGAAACTAAAGGTCAAAGGTGGTTAGCATAGTGGGTGAAGTCTGGAAGGTGGTTAATAATAGCTCACATCCACTGGGGTCAAGCTATCTGGGTTTTTTTCTAGGCTCTACCACTTAAAGCTGTGTGACCCTGGGAAGGTTTCTTAACCTCCCTAAGTCTCAGTTCCTAACGTATTGAAAGAACAACAATGCCAATCTCTTAAGACTATTATGAAAATTAAGATGTAATGCTTAGAAAGTGCTGGGCNGCATTGTCCTTTTTTAAAGATGAGGAAACTAAAGGTCAAAGGTGGTTAGCATAGTGGGTGAAGTCTGGAAGGTGGTTAATAATAGCTCACATCCACTGGGGTCAAGCTATCTGGGTTTTTTTCTAGGCTCTACCACTTAAAGCTGTGTGACCCTGGGAAGGTTTCTTAACCTCCCTAAGTCTCAGTTCCTAACGTATTGAAAGAACAACAATGCCAATCTCTTAAGACTATTATGAAAATTAAGATGTAATGCTTAGAAAGTGCTGGGCGTACAGTCTGTGCTGAATATCACACATGATTACTATGTAATTTATATATTTTTTATTTTTTTTATATTTTGACCAGTAAGGGGATCACAACCCTCGGCATGGTGTGGTCCACACCACACTCAGCCAGTGAGCGCACTGGCCATCCCTATATAGGATCCGAACCTGTGGCCTCAGCTTCAGTGCTACCAGCGCTGCATTCTCCCGAGTGAGCCATGGGGCCAGCCCACTACATAATTTATTTAAAGTCACTCAGATGGTAGGAAGTAGCCCTGTAACCAGATCCCATGTCATTTTCTTACTCTTCCATTGCTTTCTAATCAAGGCAAGAAATGTATACATGAAAGTGAGAAGTATTGGGCCGGCCCGGTGGCGCACTGCTACAGTGCGCCGCTTGGGAGCATGGTGGTGCTCCCACCGAGGGTTCGGATCCCACATACAGACCGGTTCCCGCTCACTGGCTGAGCGAGGTGCGGGCGCAGCACCGAGGGTTGCGATCCCGTTGCCGGTCCCGGTCCGGTACGGGCGCGACACTGAGGGTTGCGATCCGTTGCCGGACACGAAAAAAAGACAAAAAGGAAAAAAAAAAAAAAAAGAAAGTGAGAAGTATTAATCAATATAGCCTCTAGTCATTTTAAGAAGGGAGAGGTAATAGGTATGAGATCAAGAAATAGAGGAAAAATTTCATGGAAGAGTAGAAATAACATAGTCTGGGTTGAGAGACCATGACATAAAATAAGTTTTAAGTTTTCTAAAAAGGCACAGTAGTGTTTTTTAGATCACACTGGAAAGGGAGTGTATCCTGCCTGGACTTATCTTTGTACAATATTTACTTAAATCTTTTACAGATGATTAAACACAAGAGCAGTAGAAATATTTGTTTGTTTTTGGTAGAACCCTGCAGTGATCATTCCCCAAAATGCACTTGTCAGTTTTCCTACTTAAGTATTCATATTAAATATTGTCCTTACAACATTATAAACATTGAGTTATAAACATTGTTGTTTAAAAAGAATTGTTCTTTTTATTTTTTTCCTCTCCTTCAAGTTCCTGTATACTTTAATTAAATCTCATTCTGGCATTTAATATTTTTGACATTTTTTTTTCTAGTTCTCTGTTTCCATAGCTTGTATGCCCTATTTGAAGGCAGGGTCTTCTAATTTCTAATTGCATTGCCTAATACCTCCAATACAAGATGAGGAACAAATCATAAATTACTCTGAGATAAATGTCTCTTTCATTTCTTACTCAACTTCTCAGTGATCATAGTTATTTCTTAATGTTTATCTGTGTTTATCTCCTACCATTGACTCCAATTGGAATTAATATCAATTGCATTAATTAAATATTAATTTTAAGAGATTCCTAATGATAATTTAGACATTTTAAATTTGACTTATTATATGTCCATTTTTAGGCTTATTTTGCTTATTTCGTAATGTAAGGGGTTTGTTTTTGTTCTTTTCTTTTTAACAGCAAGTCTTATTGATATTTGGTATAACTCTTAAATTGTGCCTCATATTGGAGCTTTTGGAAAAGAAACAGTATGGTTAACTCTGACATTGTGAGGTTATGGTGCATTCAAGCAAATTAGGAAGCAAGCAGCAACAACATAACTTACAGAAAGGGAGAAAAGGCCATTCTCTCTTCTACCTTTCATTGAGAAAAGATTAAGCATTTCCTTTGGTCTTGACAAAGTTTTACACCAGTTTACCTCAAATTTTTTTTCGTTCTAAGGAAATCTATTTTTTGGCATTTTGTAATTGTTATATTCGGAAGCCACACTTTTGCCTGTTCTTTCAAAGATATGTTTTAACTCCTGCAAAGGCAAGAACTTGGCATAAGACCAGTATCTTATCTGTGGTACATTTTGGCATTTTGTAATTGTTATATTCGGAAGCCACACTTTTGCCTGTTCTTTCAAAGATATATTTTAACTCCTGCAAAGGCAAGAACTTGGCATAAGACCAGTATCTTATCTGTGGTACGTGCACTGATAATTTACCAGAAAATACACTGCAAACACAAAAATGTTTTGTATATGATGCTTTGCTGAAACACAGAATATCTGGTTATTAGTAGACCTCCAGTTTTTACTGAACCAATAATTTGGACACATAAAAATCTAATGAAATCTTAAAAGAATTTCTAGAGTCAGTTTTATTTAATGATTTCTCCTATTTAAATATCACAGATTAAAAAGAGATAAGAAAAGTGCAAAAATAAAAATGGAAAGTATCTAAAAGATTATACTTTATAACGAAGCAATCTATAAGTTCTGGGAAATAATGCTAATAATTAAAGCTGCCATTTATTGAACTATTGATCTGCTATGTGTCAGGAACTTCAACATATATTCTTATTACTCTTCACAACAACCCTGCAGCATGGGCTTTTATTTATTTATTTTTTTGCTTACCACCTCGCATATTAGGAGAGCTGTCAGAGAGCTCACACTTAGTAAATGGCAGAACTAAGATTTGAACCCAGTTCTCTCAGATGCCAATATCCACATGCTTTTAAATGAGACGGTATTTGAAAGTGCTTGGCAAAGTGCTTAAATAATTAAATGGTAGCTGTTATTACTCACCCACACACAGACACACACACACACACATACAAACGGTAAGATAAAAACAGAGAAGAGAGAGCATTATACCTCCAATAGTAAGCATCCCATCATGCCATCAGACTTTATATATATAATCCACAAGCATTTAGGAGCTGTAATGAAGGAGAAGCCACTTTACAAGGTGTATTACCTAGGAATAAACATAAAAATAGGTTGCAGGTCTTTTGGTGGACAACCTTAAAACATTCTAGCAGGACAGAAAGATAGACTTGAACAAATGGAAAAACATATGTTCTCAGAGAGAATGATTCAGCATCATAGAGATGTTAATTCTTCATCAGTTGATTTATAAATTTAACATGAACCTAATAACGAAATTAACAGTTTTAACCCAAAAGCTTTACAAGAGGATTCTAAACTTTTGGAAATACATTTGTCGATAAAACATACCTGTTGATTTTATTTTTTCTTTTCACTGCCACTAGTTTCTAGACGTTTAGATAGATGTATATAGATGTTAAAGTCATTTTTACAGGTTACATTCTAAGGAACCTTAGTCTCATAAGTAGATAAGAATGGAGAGGGGAGTGTTTATAGCAGCAACATGCAATTCTTTGAAATTTCTAAGGTGGCAAAAATTAGATAGTGAACTCATCAAAAAGTATTTTTAACAATTTATCAGCTGACAACTTAATTAGATCTTTCAGTTTTGTTATTAGCATAGAATAAGAAACCACTCATTGGCAAGAGGATTATTTACATAGTCATTATAGTACTAGAAGAGGCCAGTATTTCAAATTGTCTTTCCTTAGTGTTCAGAGGTTTTCTATCATAGCCTTTTAATATTGCTTATTTTAAAATCTACCTACTATGTCATTGTTTTTTCCCTTTTTTTCTTAGTTGCATTAAAATCCTCCCCTGCTGACAGAAATGGAAGCCAGGATAATTGTAGAACAAAATTCGCTGAAAGCCTGAACTTGCAAGAAGGAGAATTCTTATTACAGGTAAATTTTAGTAAATATAGTTCCTTATAATAAGGGACTATTACAATTCTAAATAGAAAATTACTTAATCAGTCTTTTAATTATTTGTAGTTTTTTTTTAGGATTCACTCAATGTTTCATGCCACTTTCATCTGAACTGCAGTGGTGGTGTAATGCTAGTACATGAAAAAATGGAATTACGTGAAATGGGTTAATTAGAGGTCTAGTCATCACCCTCCCTGTTGTATTTCTTCAAATAGCCAGAAATCGTAGATCATTTTAAAGGTTTTTATTTAAGATACTGGATTTATATACAGTTTTTCAAGAATGGAGCTCTATTAAAATGGTTAACTATATTTATTTAATAGCTTGAGATTGTTTTTACCTTGAATTTTAGTATTTTTAAATGTGTTATCTCATGACTTACATTTTATTTTAGCAGCTGTTTGTGACTTATTAACATGCTATAGATTTTTTCAATGACCATAAGCCCTATTTTTATGCTTTAGAACTTGGAGAGCTTTCTTTTTCTTAGAATTGATGATATGCTTGATTCTCACTTAAAATTCTCAGATATTTATTTTGTTGGAAAAAGATAAAATAAAAATATATGCTATAATATGTGCTGTCACCACTATGTGATCATTTTTAGGTTCATCCAGTGAACTGAGTGGAAGAACTTAGTTCGCTATTGTGACAGAAAATAATCATAAGTTTTAGTAACTCCATTAGTTCATTCATTGAATGCTAGAGTGTAGCCTAATAGTTTATAACATTTTTTATTACAATTCTGTAATAATGTTCAAATTTCTGATAGCAAAAATTAACTGTGCCTCCATTATGTTAAACAAATATATTCAAGCATGTGTCCTCTCCAACCCCAGCTGAGGTTCTTTATGTATATGTTAGCTGAAACATAAAACTCCTTATTCTGGTCATAGGAAAATGTTCTAATAATTGCTGCTTTTGGTGATTAAACACACATCTTGAGTTATGTAATAAGTTGGGTTATGTGATAAGTCTATTCTCACTTTATTTCAAGTGAGAATAGACAAATATGGACTGATTTACATGACACTTAGCAAATTGGTTTAAATTGTGGGCCAATATTATTTTTCTAAAATATTTAGACAAACTGTATACATATCCTATGTCAAGGACACAGAATAAGAATAACACTAGTGCAAAGCTAGAGTTAGATATATAAAGTTTTCTGGAAATTGGACATCTTTACATAGTTAAAAATAAACTTTCACCACTTATAAATTATGTTGGATGCTGTATGTAGATTACTGTAATAGGAAGCATCACATACAATATGAGAGTACTTCAGAAAGTTCATGGGGAAATGATATTGAAAGATAATATAAATCTTTCCATGAACTTTTTGACGTGCCTTTGTATGATGCGTTTCTTAGTATTGTGCATATCTGTTATCTTTTTATGAAGGTGACTGAAAATATTATAAAATGTGAAAATGGCATATTTCATTATATACAATTATCATAATGGCATCTGACTTTGCATTTTCAAACTGCAGTAATCAGCCAATTTCCACTAAAATGTGCAGGATGTTACCAAAGCTGCAGTATACTATGTGGCCTGAAACTTTTGATGAGAAATCTTTTTCTTTATTTATCAAAGGCTCTTAAAGAAAATGTTACAAAATATTTTATTTAAAAAATTTAAAATATTTTACTTTCTAGGTTAGTTTAAGTTTATTACTATTTTGTAAGGAATGAAAATGAAACAATACAAATAACTTTTTATATATTTTCATTATCTATTATTTACTTCGCATGATCATTTCATACATTTAAAACAAGTTCTATATGGTGCTATTTAATGCTGTGCTTATAATCATGCACCTTTATTTTTCAGTAACAGCAGTTGAAATTATAACAGTATCAATTGCACTTTATTTCTGTTATTTTAAATAGTATATGAACTTCAGCATGATTTTTAGGTAGATAGGGCAAATCTTTGTGACTAAGATTAAAAGAATGATAATCTCTTGTATTAATATGTAATTAGCATATTGATTCCATCTGTTAATTTATTAAAATAATTCAACTTATGTAATAACCTTGTTCCCATGGTATTTAAGATAATTAGAGATATATGAAAAATTGGTATGACTCTATTCTTTTTAGGTTTTTATTTTTATTTCTGACAATTAATATTTGTCCAAAGGGATTTGAAATTGTACCTTGAATTACCCTCATGTCTTACTGCACACACCAATGAATTTTTGGGGATATACTAAATTTGTTTTACTGTTTGAAAAAGTATGATGCTCCTTAAAATAATATGGATGTGATCAATGGATAGTCTTCTCTAGAAAGAAGATATTTTCAGGATGAAACAATATCATGATGGATATATATACTGTTACTATCAACAAAATTTAAGAATATTCAGTTTGGGGCCGACCCTGTGGCTCACTCAGGAGAGTGCAGCGCTGGGAGCGCCACGGCCGCGGGTTCGGATCCTATGTAGGGATGGCCGGTGCGCTCACTGGCTGAGCGTGGTGCGGGCGACACCAAGCCAAGGGTTACGATCCCCTTACCGGTCACAAAAATAAATAAATAAATTATATATATATATATATATATCCTGCTGGATAAAGAAAAATATCCTGCAGGACAGCGGTAGGGGAGTGGGAAATACCTGCAAAGGATGCACAGTGTTCCATCCTGTGGACACATTGTAACTTGTTTAACTGATCTAAATAAGTACTTTCGGTTGTTTTAATTGTCTTTAAATTATAAAAGATTTCACATATAGAAAATATACAGAGAAAAATGTTATGCTCACTCAACTAATCACTACCCAAAATTGATACTTGTTAATTTTTTGCCATCTTTGCCTCAGATATTCTAAAGAAATCATGGTTTACAGGCAGAATTGAAGGGTCCCTCTATTCAACTAATTCCTATCCTTCCATTCCAAAAGTA